ATAAGAATGAGTAACATTAAATGAGTCGGATATTTTTTCCAAGAATTTTAAATGAACACTTAGCGCATCTTCACTGATTGGGTTGTTTTCATCATTCAATATCGTCTCTCGAAGTGAAACGGCTTTGTTGTATATTGAGAGTGCCTTTAGTTTGTAAAAAGACACCCTGTTTTCCGGCACGTCATTAGACTCATCCATTTTCGACAGGCAGCAGCGAGCAAAGCACAAAGAAGAATCGAAGAACCAACCGTTTGATTTTTTTTGGTATGCAAGCGCAAGTGCAGCGAACCCGAAGCCGCTAATGCACGTAGCTGTATTAGTGCTTGTAAGCAAGCGCGCGACGAAATGGGAACTAACCGCTTCGCGTTCGAACAGTTATGTTTAGCGGATAATTTTCACTGTTTATAATTGTTTATTTCCAAATTGTTACTGACGATCACGTCGGGGTCACCAAATGTTGAGACAACGAGCTTTTTCGCTGACTATGATTGTTCAATAATTTCACAAATTATTAATTTCCGAAAACGTTATAAATTTTATTATAGGTATTTTGTGTGTTGAGGGTGGCCGAAGATGCCAGAGCCTTTTACAATAGTATTAGAGTGACACACTTGGATGAGGCAAGCGAGCCGATCTCGAGCCAAAGTAATAGATTGGGGACAAAAAGGGTCTGTTCTCCAACTATATCAAGCGGTAACTGCTAGAGCAGGCGCAGCTGCTGACGGCTTAGCGACGGCATAGGAAAGAAAAGATAACAAGAGCGAGCATAGATAAGAATAGATGATTAAATGAGAGCATGTTGCTGAGCGAGCATAGATAAAGCTACGCTTACGTTACGTTAGTTTAGTATAATGACCAAAATAGAAAAGAAAGTGAATTGATAGGCAATAAAACAATGGTATAAAATTTACACTCGGGCTTCGCCCGAACAGAATTAAAGGATGATATTTAAGCCGACATTGCCAGAGGTAATCAAGGCTTAACATTGAGTTGATTAGGACATGAACTTAATATATAATAGGATAAAGAAATTTATTCGACTAAATTCTAAATCAATGTACTTGTAGAAATGTGAGGTAATTTTATATTAAGTGCCTGTGGAGATAATGTTTTTTATCCCCGATCGGCCGACTAATTATTTCGAATTAAATGAAACTCGGTGCAGAAATAAAATTACGATATGTACTTTAATGCGTAACATCCAAATTGCAAGTGAAGCTTGCCTGCCCTTTGCATTGCAGCTCCGATCGCTAAGCGCAGCTTCGCTCGGCAGACGTGGGCAGGACGACACAAATCGGAGATGACAAAGAGCGAGCTTGCAGAGAACGCTTCGCAGAGCAAGCAAGCGCAAAGCTTTGACAAACGTTTGAGTTACAAAGACATTATAAACAATCAAAATAAGCGGCTGAGGGCCAAAAATTAGTTGCTGTTTGGCAAGCAGCTAATCGGCTGGGTTCTGCTCCGAACAATGCCTTTAATGAGACTTCGGACGCTGCAGATTCGCGGGGTGAAGCATGTGAACACGACCGTTTCTGCTTAATTCGATATTGCGACTCTCCTCAAGTTTATTACTCGGTCAGGTTGTGCTGCAGCGTATGTTGCTCAACATCGTTATGTTGCTTCAAGTGTGAATACGTATGTACAGATGTTGGGCGGTAACGACTTCATTATCTCTTCCTCTTTAATTTCAGTTTATTTCTGGTTTATCTATTTAGTTCTAACTTCTGTATCGACCGCTGTATCGATATTATGTTATGTAAAGAGTAAAGATTACCTGAGAAAATAAAGATTTTTCAGTGGTCCGAAAACTTATAATCGCGCATTCGTTGTATACAGTTTCGGAAGTCGTTTGTACAATAGAACAAATTTACCAGCGATGTTTTAACACACCTGGCCGCAAACTAAGTCTAATGAAAAATGAATTTTAAATACAAACAGTTTTTTTATGTTGCGAAAATCCAGTTATGTATGTATCTATGTGAAAAAACTTAAACTGGATTAACAACCAGATGAATATAATAATAATTTTTGAAAAACAGTGACATGTTTTTAAAAAAGAGTAATTCTGTATTTAAATACTCAGGCTAATATCAGGAGGATCAGGTAAACCATTTTTTTTTCTCTATCAACTACTATGGTCTCAAAAGCAAACATATTGGAACGAATGGAGATTAAGTAAGATGACTATTGTTGTTGGTTACAAATGAGTGGACTGTATAAATTTGAATAGGTTTTATTTAAAATATTTGATGATAAGATAAAATCGGTGATTAGTTATATGTGAATAGGGGGTTGATTTGCGGCGTTACAGCGATAAGCGGGCGGTTCGTTATTCTTTTTTTTTCTACTAACTTCCATTCCGCAAAAGAAGTCGAGCCAAAAGGGAATTGAAAGATCATGCAATGCGACGGTCCAATGCAAAAAGGTACACATCGATGTATGCGTGTGCAGCTGCGGACTTGAGCTATACGTGTGAGAACGAACAGCTATGTTTTTGACACAAGCAATAACAACACAGCTATGCGCGTAAAAATACTTACTTAAGCGGTGTAATACAATCATGAGCATATGAATAAGGCAGTCGTTACATAAATGAACATTGAACTAAAAACTACGCGACTAATTTCTCACCAGTTGTTATATTATAAATATCCAGTCTTGGCTCGGAGCTGTTTGGAACAACACGTAAAATCCCCAGTTCAATAAAGTCTCTTTATAATAAAAATACTCTCTCGGAAAATACGAACTGTATAAACTTAAGAACTGGTATAGAAGTGTCCATTTAGAGGATGGTTTAATATGTAGAGTTACAAAATGAGCAGTAGAAGAAAGGTTTGAAAGCCGAACTACAACTGCGGTCAAAAGCTGCAATGGAGAAAGCAGGCCTCAATGTCAAGGATTATGAGTTCTTGGATGAGCAAGGCTCCAGGTCGACAGTGGAGGACAGTCAGCCAGTGGCGGAAAATGGCCAATCGATAGCGATGATGCACCAGATGATGTTGCAGATGAAGGGTCAAGTTGACTAACAGCAACAGATGATAATGCAAGTGAAGGATCAGGTAAATGATCAAGGATCAATCAGAGAAATTAGAAGCTATGACAAAAAAATTGAGGAAAAATGGGCCAACGTTGACCTGAAAGGAATTAGCAAAGTGGAAAATCGTCTCAAAGATCGGCTCGAAGACAGATTCCGTCAATTGGAATTGGGTGTTCCTATCAACAACATGACAGCAGCCAAGCCGAAGTTCCCTACACCTAGTTTTGATGGCACAGTAACATTTGGCGTTTTCATGACTCAATTCGAAATGTCACCGTCGAGAAATAATTGAACGGAAGCTGACCGCGCGGCTGCTGTGGTGTTTTCCTTGAAGGGCCGCACTGCTGAGGTGCCATAATCGATTTCTGCCGCAGATAAATTGAATTTCGAGGCTGTTAAGCGTGCCTTGGAGCGTCGATATGGAGGTGAAACATGCGGAAAGTTCATCTCTTGAAACTGAAGGGCAGGGTAGAGCGTTGCGGGGAGTCGCTTCAAGAGTTCGCAACAGACATAGCGACTCTCACGCCTAGCTTAAAATGATGGCGCTACCGACTTTCTGGAGAGATGCAAAATCAATGGTCTTATAGACGGTATGAGGGACTTAGGCACACGCCGCGCAGTGGTTCTGATGTAGAGAACAACTTCTGAGGAAGCGGTCAGTCAAGCATTTACCTGTGAAACATCGCTATTGATATTCCGTCCATCACCAAAAGTGCTTACTGTACAAGCTGAAGTGCATAGCTGCAATCGGCCGAACCCAATGACAAGGAGTATTCAACGCAGCGAAACGAATCATGAAGGCGGTGAAGGTTTTCACAATAACGATTTGGTGCTGTTTATTATAGGCAAATTGGTGTATCGCATTAAAAAAAAAGACAACCGAAGACCGAAACGAAAAGTGATTAATTTCGAGAGACTGGCTCTTTTGACTGACTTTACCGTGGAGGAGACTTGGAACTTCTTCGGGACGAACGAGATTAGGCGGAGGGCAGTGGAACCAAGAGATGAAGTAAGCTGACTATTGTTATCATGCCGGATTATATTAAAAAAATCGAGCCTTGGCTCTGAGTTGTTTGGAACAACACGTTAGATCCCCAGTTCAATAAAGTCTTCCTGTATATTACAAATTATTTCTGTTTTATATTTTCAACACGGCAAATACGAACTGTATGTCGCAGACATAGAGGTCGAATTCGGGCAGTCGAGAACGGCCTATATCAGCATTATTATAAGTGCGAACAGCCATCAAATCGAAATCCCTCGCCAATACTGTGTTCGCGGCATTATTAGCCTGCCATTTCTGCCATTTTAAGGTTTTACGAAAGTCGAGTTGTTTCGAAACAGGGAAACGAATAGACAACATTGCATGTTTGTATGTATGTATGTTTTGGCGCCAAATTGTGCTCAAAACGCCGAACACTTGCTGAGGCTTGCGAATGTTTAACTCGAAATCGATTGTTTAATGGTAATGCAATTTAGATTGATCACGTCGGAGTCAACAAACTGAAGGTGGATACAATGTTTTTTATCCCCAATTCGCCAAATAATTTTTCCGATATAAAAATGTCAATATGTTGAATGGTCTTTAATGACCTCCGATCTCTGAGTTCAGTTTCGCTCGTCCTAGATAAGCAACAAAATAAACTTTGATAATGAACAGCGAGCTTCGAAAGAACTCTTAGAAAAGGCTTGCAGGCCTGAAAGTGTAAAGCTTAAAAACTATAAGAATAACATATGGATTTGTAACCACAAAAATATGCGGCCAGCGTCCAATAATTGGCTGCTTTTTGGCAAGGAGCTAATTGGCGCTTTCACAATTAAAATTAAAATATTAGTTTAAAAAAGAAAGTTGGTTAGGGAGGACTCGTGAGCTTATTTCTGAATAGGACCTCAATTGAATTTGGGTTTGACATCGTCGAGGCTCTGTTTCACACATTTTTTAATGAATTGTATCATTTTGCAGCCGGGACAACGTCCTCGCCCGCATGAAGATACTGGATTCAACAGAGGCAGGACAAAGGTAAGTTCAAACTCTTTAATATTCTAATGAATTCTAACGAAATACAGGAGGCCGATGCCGTATTTTACTGGGAATACTCAGTATTAGTGTGGAATCAAAATAAAACCTAAATTATATTCTAAATAAAACCTCTGGAAATCAGGGACCGTAATCATTATAAGTTATATATTCAAAATTACTTGGTAAAGATTATATTTCAATTTTTTACGTTTTTCTTCACTGATAATCATTATTTTTGAGAACTTTGATAAAAATTAGACTTCATCATTATTATTTAAAGAAAAAAAAAAAATGATTGTCTATGTTTTTTATTTTTTTCGCTTAAAATAAAACTCAACGGGAATTTACGGCTTCTGTGTTAGAATGTTCGCAAATATTATTGCATATCCTTGTTAAGGGACCACAGAGCTACCCCCTGCGCTAAAAAATAAAAAAAATTCGAAATCATGGCGGCAATGTAGAGATTGTACAAAAATAAAGATTTTGGTGCACACAATGTTTTTCTAGGTCCATTAAAAGTAAGAGATTTTTATATTAAAAAAAAAAAAATAATCATTATTTACGGTTCCTGCAAAAAATTATTAATAAATCTCTGTAGCACATGAAGGATTAAGCAGAGGCAATTAAGGTGACCTACAACCACAGATTATGGGGAAAATGGAAAGTCAAGGTGACCAACAGCACCAGAAAGCGGCTCCGAGAATGTGAAGAGCACGATTTCCAAAGGCCGGGCAGTGGCAGAAGAAGTGGGGGACCGATTCCCCCTCCTCCTCGTCGCGGCAACTCCTGCAGAAGTCGTTATGAGGGATTGACAGTCTAGAGGCATGGGTGCCGATCTGCCAGAGTCCCGTAATGGCCCGAGTAACTGCATTGTGCTCTGCTGAGTCTATACAGCTCTGCTGAGCGCTTCTTCGATCGATGTGGCCATTTCAATCTTGAGACCCTACAGGAAACGGTTTGCTGCCATCTCCTATTGGCATTTTGCTCGAACAATTCGTGCGTGAGGAGCCTGCACGTAGCCAGAGGCATCCCTACCTGCTTCCTCTCCGATAGGAGAGGAATCGCAGTACCCTGCCTTGCCAGTTCGTCGGCGGCGTCGTTCCCCTCGATGTCCCTGTTGCCTGGGACCCATATAAGGAAGAGATCTAACTGCTCCGCTATATCGTGCAGAGATCTGCGGCAGTCATTCACAGTCGCTGAGTTCGACGATATTGAGCCTAAAGCTTTAATAGCTGCTGCTTTAATAGCTTTAAGGCTGGACACCATACCACCACTCCATAGAGCATGATCGGTCCTATGATGGCGGTGTAAAGCCACCGAACTATATAGGGGGTCAGGTCATTCCCCATTTTAGTCCGATGGCTTTCCTGCAAGTATAGAGGGCCACTGTGGCCTTCTTTACTCTATCCTCTATACTCAATTTCCAGTCGAGCTTTCTATCGAGGATAAGGCCAAGATACTCGGTTGTGTTGCTGAAGACCAGCGCTTCCTCACATAGCTTTGGGGGAATCAGTGCCGGAACTTTGTACTCCCTAGTAAAGAGCACCAGTTCCGTCTTAGACGGGTTGACGCTTAGACCGTATTTGTCTGCAAATTTTGACATTTTCATGAGTGTGCTTGTCAGGCAGTCACACAGCGTCTGCGGAAATTTACCGGAGAATTTACCGGCAGCCACCCCCCTCTATCTCCCGCAGCAGTTCGTTCACTGCCACGTTCCATAGGAGGGGCGAGAGGACTCCGCCCTGCGGCGTGCCTACACTGACAAATCTGGTGGAGGTTGACGTCCTCAGTGATGCCTCAACCGTCTTGCATTGTTGCATCTGATCGATCAGGCTCACCGTCCGGGAGTCAACCCCCAGGTCCGTCAGTGCACCCGTGATGGCGGTCGGGAGGATGTTATTAAAGGCGCCTTCTATGTCGAGGAAGGCTACCAGGGTGGACTGCTTACAGTGGAGGGACGCTTCTATGGTCGATGTGATCGTGTGTAGGACCGTTTCGGTGGATCTTCCTTTCCGATAGGTATGCTGGGAGTCTGAGATTAGACTAGGCGGAATATTCACCGTGAGATGCATCCCCAAAAGCCGTTCCATCGTCCAGCCAGTTAGTGGCTTTTTGTCTAGCGTGAATCAGATTGGGCAGGGATGATGCCATCTGGTCCCGCAGACTTGTATGGTTTGAAGCTTCTGATTGCCCAGGAAATGTTCTCCTGGTTTAGCAGGTTCATGATATCACTTGAGGCAACGGAAGGAGCCGCGATGTAGTGTGGTCTGTTTTCATCGCAGCCGGGAAAAAGTGGGTGTTAAGGAGAAGATTTAGCGACTCATTGCTGGACGTTGTCCACGATTGGTCGGCATTCTTCAGGTAGCCCAGAGTGGGTGTAGTCTTCGAGAGAACTTTGCGCAAGCGCGAGGCTTCCGAGTTGTTCTCAATGTCGCTACAGAACTTACGCCATGAGGCGCGTTTGGCTTTCCTCAGTTCTTTATTATAAGTTGACAGACTGCCCTTGTATTCGGTCCAGTTCCGCTCAACGTTCTCAGCCTTGTCTGTGTGAAAGAGTATCCGGGAGGCTTTCCGGAGTTCTCCCAGTTTAGGAGTCCCCCATTCAGGTTTCTTCCGGCCTCTGCTCTTGCCGGAGGGGCAGGATTTATCGAGCGCCTCATTGCAGGCGTCGGTAAATAGTTTAACAAGATGAGTCGTGGCTTCCCCAGAAATCTCCTCCTCAGGTGGAGTCTCAGGGAGAACACGACAGAGGTGGTCTGAGTACCAAGTCCAGTTTGTCAGCCTGATGTTCCGGAGTTGAGCTGGTCTCGGTAGTGAAAAAGAGAATACGGTTTCCACGTACCTGTGGTCCGAGAAGGAGTGCTCTTCCAGGACCCTCCAGGATACGATATTCCCAAATATCTCATGAGAGGCAAGTGTGAGGTCCAGGACCTCCTTGCGGTTTTTAATAATGAGGGTGGGATCCCTCCCCCTATTTAATAGGACCATCTGAGTGGTCAGTAAATAGTTGAAGAGGTACTCACCTCTTTCGTTAGTGTCAGTGCTTCCCCACTGGCAGTGGTGTGCATTGTCGTCGTACCCTACGATTAGGCCGGTGTCCTTGGCCTCGAAGTCTGTGATTAGGGCCCTGAGCGCCTGTGGAGGGGGGTCCAGTTGGTCGTGACCCATGTACGTGAAGCAGATTCTCAGTGAGCACCCCTGGCCTTCGAGGCTCACTGCTGTTTGGTCTTCATTGCTGAAATTTAAGAGCAAAAAAAAATGCGAATCTCTTTTTGCAAGAATGCAGGTGCGAGTTTTACCTGCGGTATCAGCTACGTATGGCTTGTAGTCTGAAGTTGTCAGACCGGAGACACTGTTTCCGAGCATCCAGGGCTCCTGAATGAGGACTATGTCAGCTCCACCCTTGGCCAGGTGGAGCAGTAGAGCAGCGCATCCTGCCTTACAATGGTGGAGGTTTATCTGCAGGAGCGTCAATGACATTCCAGAGGCTCACCTCCACCATTGTTGTTTCTAGATCGCTGTCGGGGGACTCCGGCTCCTCCCCGACAAAGATATGGCTGAGACCTCTGGCTAGGTCGCTCTCGTCGAACGCGTAGTCGTCCAAGATGTCGTCCGACATCATGGACGCCGCATCCGATGCCGGGTTGTCCTCCTCACACGAGGCCCCCTCTTTCAGGATCTCCGGCAGCCCCGGGTCTGGCTCGACCTCTGCTTGCCTGCTCTTGCGATCCGACTTGTAGGTGGATGGTGATCTTTTTATATCCGTAGTCGACCACACCGTCCGTCTTCGCGAGGGGCTCTAGCGACTCCTCATTGAGGACGAGGATTATCTGGCGCCTCTGCCCCTGGATATCCTCTACTTTGGCCACCTTCCAGTCGGCTGTGGGAAGGTGGGGCTGCAACCCGGAGTATTTTCTCAGGTTCTAGAGGTTTAGCCGAGACCCATGCTCTGGCTCTCGGACGACTGGGGACATCCTACCATCTCACGGCCTCCAGTTTCGCCCCTGCATAGACCTCTTTTAGAGCAGTTCCTGTAGGAACCGGTCCTGGAGTTCGTTCTCCACCAGGTGCCAGTTGTCGCGAGGGACATGGCCGTCCTCGGCGCCCCTGTCCAGGACACCGATCAGGGTTTTGCCCCTCGCCACCTCAGCGAACGATCGGTTCGTGAGGGGGGTCTTCACTTGTCTTGCTGGGCTTGGCCTGGCTGATTAGCGGGGTCCTCCGCTGAGCGTTGCCGCTTGTTGGGGGCCTTGGCTGCGCCCTTTCCGGCTTTGGCTGGCTGGAACAGTGGCAGGGTTCAGGAGGCCCACAGCCTCTGCTCCTTTCCTTCTGCCGACGCCGTGAAGTTCGGGTCCTCGTTGAAAGCCGCTCGTCTCCTGTCCTGGTACGACGGCTTTCCTCCCCGTGGCGCAGAGACGCTGCCCGCCGGGGCTCCCATGGGTTCCTCGGTCCCGGTGCGCTTACCAGCCGCGATTACGGTCTGCTTCGATTATCCGATTCGCCCTTAGAGCCACCCGACTTGGAAGGACTCGATTGGCTTTTCGGGCCCCCCCTCGCTGCGGCTGCTGCCTGCAGACGGTGGACCGACTTAGTCTCCTTCCCCGTCTTCTTTGGACTTGGTTTCCCAGGCGTCGGTGTAGAGGGATTGGCTTGTCCCTCTGATGCTTTAAGAGGAATACCGAGCTCCTTTGCGGTGTCTTTGCTTTTGAAATGTTTGTTGTTTGTTGTTCCCACGAGTAGGCGGGAAGGGGTTGGTCACCCGAGGCATAGCCCGCTTGCCCCGGGAAGCTTAATTTAAACTGGACGTCGGCAGGTATCCAGAGTCCGCATATTAGCGACCGGCACCCCCCCGGCCATGCATCCCTCGGCATATAACAGTGTCACCTTGGATTGGGGTAATTTCACAGAGAGTTTTCTTCTCTCCGCCCGACTACCATTAGCCAGCATCCTGGCAGAGACATGACCGTACCAGGACCTGTTTCCAGCCGCCCTCACGGGGAGAGTATAGTCGCACTTCCACCGGTGTGTACAGTTACGGCGGGTGACGGTTCGCTCGCAACCCTCTGTGTTTTAGGGGTGTGGGACCCAAGCCGCACCGGGTATTCCTCACCGGAGTTTCTGCTCCTCAATTCCGAGCTTACAGTTGTGCGAGCCGACCCGCCATCCGCTTATCCTCCTGTAGCACCCGATGGCTGACGGCTTAAAGTGAAGCTAAATCACAATGGTTTGCAGCTTTGGCAAAATATATGGAAGAAAAAATGGAATAATGTAATTGTAGCTGTGTTATCATATAAATTTCCGAAATACTCTTCTGCTAACTATGACAGCACAACAATATTTGGCGTTGATCTTGGTCCGTTGATCCTTGACTAAGATGCTGCTGAGGTGCTGCAAAACATTCCTAGCGCGGATAAATTATATTATGAGGCTGTTAAGCATTGCCTGGTGCATCGATACGGAGGTGAGAACATACGAGAAGTTCATCGCCTGCAGGTGAAGGAAGGGTAAAACGTTGCGGAGAGTACCTTCAAGAGTTCGTGACGGACATAGAGCTTACAACGATGCGCCAGCCGATTTTAGAGAAAGTTAAAAAATTTCATGCAAATTAGGACGTTCCAAGAAGCAGTCAGACAGTCTTTATATGCCGTTTTTGATATGCCGTCTATAAAAATAATATAAAAAAAATAAATTTTATCCCCAAGTAGCCGAATACTTATTCCGATTAAATAAGAGGACAGCGCAAAAATAAAATTACGATTTGTTGTTTATTGAGTGATATCCATAATGTAAGCGAAGTTTGCTTGTCCGTTACATGCCTGAATTGCCGCTCCGATTGCTGAGCGCATCTTCGCTCGGCATACATAGATAAGCAGACGCAAAGCGTAGATAGCGAAGTGTGAGCTTCGAGAGAACGCTCAACAGGGCAAGCAAAAGCGACGCTTTAACGAACATACATATGAGTGACATTGAAATTAGTAACAAACAAAATAAACGGCTGAAGGCCAAAAATTCCGTGCTATTTGGCAAGAAGTTAATCGTCGGGGTCCGCTCCGAACAACGTTAATCGACGAAAATTCATATCTTACAAGCCAAGATGAATCATGGTAATCAAATAACAAGAAAACAAGTATGTTAGTATTCAATGGAAAATGCTACAAAAAATAGGGCATATGGCAACAAAATCATGTTGTCGAGATTTTGAAACATTACTACCATTACTACATTACTACTATCATGTAGAAGAAGCTTAGTTCAAATGTGGAGACTAGCAATGGGAAACGAGTGCAATGGAGTAACAATGGGATAGCAATCATCTCTAAATATATTATTATATTGTAGTTAAAGCTTACCGTCTGTAAAATATTAGTCTTTCAAATGCAAAATTTAACACGTTTTTAAGGAACTTTTTAAAATATCTACTTTAAAAACTCAGGAAAAGTCTAAATAAATAAATTTGATTTCGAATATAATCAATAATCTATAGGATATCATAAACTGATTGGACACAAAACAAATGTTTAAAAAAAGTCATTTTTTATGAATAAAAATTCGGCGCTCCGACTTTAGCATTGTTTTTAGAACGGTTATTGGCACTTGCATCAATTAATAATGATACGATTTCTTATAACTTGCAGAAACATTTTCATCGCACGTCGCTGCTAATCAAGGCTTTTAATCATAAATTTCGCCTGGACTTGGAGCTTAACTCGTAAGTTACTATTAACCATTAGGTGAAATATGTACCAATATAAAAAAATTAAAAAATTAGTACAGTATAAAGAAGTTGTTTGTGGTAACACTATAGTAGTACTACTACCTTACCACACAGAAGTCTTGAAACCCGATCTTTGTCATACAGAAGGAATTTTTCGAAGCTTGTGAAAGTCCTGCAGATCGATCGCTCCTAAGTATGTACACTACATATCTGATTCAAAATATGATATATTATGATATCGTACAGCTCAGTATACTCTATTATATATGTAGGCTGGGTATTGCACATTGCGATATTCTCTGACACACGAGCAGCTATTAAAACATTTTTCTCATTTTCGTCAAACTCAACTACTGTGAATGACTGCTGTAGTTCTCTTAGTAAGGTCGATGATCAGTTGGATCTATTCCTAATATGGGTCAACGGACACAAGGAAATGGAGCAAAGTTATATAGACTCAGTAGGCCGCGTTACTTGTCAGCTCTCCGAACCATTACGGGACGCCAACCGGCTGTCAATCCCTCATAACGACTTCTGACGAAGCTGTCGGGAAGAGGAAGAAGAGAAGTTACTTCCCCATATCTTCTGGTCGTTTCTTTTTTACCGTCAAACCCCAGATAGGCTCTGCCGCAAGACGCGGACGCGTTTACGAAAATATGGATGATAGACTAATAACACTATGCAACAAAACTTAACTTTTTTCCGCTGTGAACCAAACCAACTTTTTTTAATAGATTTGGAGCCTTACATTTTTTTTTTTTTAGTTTTTTTTTTACATTTAGGCTATACATAACTTAAGTATATTAAGCTTGATTGTATTGAATAAATGTTTAATGTGCTATAATCGGACCCCAGTACTTTTTAGCTTAACCATCTGAAAAATATTTAGATTTCAAGTTACATTTTGATACATTTTTTCGGTATTTTTTCTGAAAATTTTGACTTTGAAAACTCGGTAAAAGTAAAAAAAAATTAATTTTGTTTGTGTTTTCATATTTTTCTTTATTGACTGGTATAATCTATGAATAAAAAGCTAAAGTGCAGCCGTTTGACAAAACCTCAAATTTCGTTACGTTCCATCCTAAATGCAATTTTAGAGTTAAAAACTGTTAAAAATACAATAGTTCGGTATTTCTTATAAAAAAAAGGTCATATTTCGAGGGAAGGTATTCAACAGTAAAATTCAAATCACAAATATTATTATTATTATTATTAATTATTGAAGACGAGGACGTAAATTAGTAGTTGGTAAAATGTGATAGAGGGAATAATCTGATCGCGATAACTCTTTATGTTGACAATGATGATGTCGAAACATCTATAAAACGTTTCATTTTAAAAGCAAAACACATTTGAATACGTTTCTTGCAAACAGGTTATCTGATTTTGTAACATCTTATTCTGCAAAATTTTCCGATCGCAAGGCTTTTTAACTTCAGAATGGCATAATAATGAAGACTATTAAACTGCTTTAAAAATATTTAAAAACTACAAATTGGTTTACAATTCAGACTAGCGAGCTGTTAAACTTAAAAAAGACTATAATCAAATACTCACCAAAAAAGTGGATGAGTTTTAGAAGTTTCTAAACGTGGCAAGAAAATATTCTAGTCAATATCCATTAAATAATACAAATTCCTATATTAAATACAAATTGAAGTGTTAACTGGCTTGTCTTAAACATAAAACTATTTATTCGAATCAGAGCGAATGGGAGGAGCCATGGGTCAAATATTGTATCTTTATACCCGGTACTCAAAATGAGTATTGCGGTATATTAGATTTGTGGTGAAAATGGATGTATGTAATGTCCAAAAGAAAGCGTTTCCGACCCCATAAAGTATATACATATATTCTTGATCAGCATCTTGATCACCGCGTCGATTTAGCCCTGTCTGTCTGTCCGTCTGTCCGTTCCTATTAGCGTATAGTGCATCGTTGCTCTACAACAACATTTTACATCCGGACTTCTGTGATATGTCGCTGTTACAAGAATATTTCAAAACTTTGCCCCGCCCACTTCCGCCTTCACAAAGGTCAAAAATCTGTGGCACCCACAATTTCAAAGATACGAAAAAACAGAAAAAGCAGAATCGTAGAGGATGACTGTATCTTCTAAAGTGCAAAATCTGAACCAGATCGTATAATTATTATAGCCAGAATCAAGAAAACAATTTCATTCTCTCACGCTCTGTCTCTTTCTAACACACAGGTTTTATGGTCGGTACTGCCGCGCCGGGCAACGCCTCCAAATCTGGGGCCGTACGTTTGATAAGCCTCCCGTGTTCAATACGCCTCCCGTGGTTTTGTTCTTTAAATCGGTTTTATTCATTTGTTTGTTTCACTTATTTATTCATTTACAATGTCGGGCGGGTGTTAAACTACGAGAGCTAGCGCTAAAAAACTTGTACCGCTTCAGTGCTTTTTCTGCTGCCTTTTGTTTTCGTTCTTCCTTCTTCCTGCCTTTGTCTGCCCTTCGCCCTAATTAACCCTTTGCTCAGCGCTGTTAATGTTTGTGCTGTTAACGCAGTGATATTCAGGGCTGTTAGGCGCAGTGATATTCAGGACTGTTAGGCGCAGTGATATTTAGAGCTGCCGCTGCGGTTTCTGCCGTAACATTCCCCCCTTCGCAAACTTCGTCGCTTGTCGTGATGTTTTCCAAACTTCTGGTTACGCCTTGATCCATTAGTGGGTTCGTTGTCCTCACGTCTAACTTGGCCAGTTTAACTATTGGCCGAGTTAGCAGTCCAGATGCGGTGCGGATTACCGCGCTTCGGGCGATCCCGTCCTTGGCTACTCGAAGGTCCATGATGACGCCTTTCCTTCACTGCACCTTGGGGCTTGTTTCGTCCGCTAGAACCACGACGTCTCCGAGTTGGATAGGGTTGGTTGGGGTTCCATGCCATTTGGTTCGTGTCGTCAGGCACGGTAGGTACTCCTTCAGCCATCGTTTTCTGAAGCTGTCCACGATCTGCCCTGCAATGCGAAAACTCTTACCAAGCATAGCTCCTATTGCGCTGCCGTCGCTCTTTGCTGCCATCGAGCTGGTCTCTGCTCTCAGAAAGTGATTCGGTGTAAGTACGTCGGCTTCCGGACACTCCAACGGCACGTAAGTCAGGGGTCGGGAATTTAGCATATTTTCTATCTTTGCTAGTGCTGTTCTCAGCACTGGTTCTTGTACGTGCGTCTCCTCTAATATTTCGGCTAGTATGGATTTCACCGATCTGATCATTCTTTCCCACGCACCTCCCATGTGGGGTGCTCCTGGGGGTATGAAGGACCATTCTAATTGCGGGTACTTGGTTTCCAGTTCGTTCGGTAGAATTCTTTCAATTTCTTCTCGTAGTAGGCGGCTGGCTCCTCGGAAGTTCGTCCCGTTGTCCGACACGATTCTCTTGGGGACTCCTCGACGGGCTACGAACATTTCCAATGTTAGCATGAAGGCGTCTGTTGACAGGGAGTTTGCCAGCTCGATGTGTACTGCTCGCACAGTGAGGCACGTGAATAGTACTCCCCATCGTTTCTCGCGTCTTCCTACGTTTACCTCCAGTGGTCCGAAGTAGTCGATACCTGTGTTTGTGAATGGCAATTCGTTGATTGCTAGCCTCTCTGGTGGTAGGCTTCCCATCTCCGGTGCCTCTGGAAGCGCTCTTTTCTTGCGACATCTTTGGCAGGTTTTCGCTACGGCGCGAACTCTTGCTCGCAGTCCTGGTATGTGGTACAATTGTCGCATCTCGTTGACGACGATCTCAGTAAGCTGATGCTGAAACTTCCGATGGAAATAATCAATGAGAAGATTAGTGACGTTATGTCCTCCGGGTAGAATTACTGGCCGTTTCAGGTTCCTCGTTATGCCGATCGACTTATCTATGCGGCCGCGTATTCTCAGTACGCCTGTTTCATCGAGGTACGGCGATAATTTGTAGATCGAACTTTTCTTACTCACGATTCTTCCTTGTCGTAGAAGAGCCGTTTCTTCAGAGTAAGCCTCTTCTTGTACCATCCGGTATATAACAATGTTGACATCTTCCATGTTGCGAAAGCGTGCGGCTAAATTTGCCTCCTCTGATGCGAAATCTCTTTTGCGTATTTTGTCCAGAAATCTCATCACGCATCTCAGGGCTCCCGTGAACTTTTCCCATTTGCTAAAGCGACATACATTTGGGATTATGCTACTCAGCTTTGATGGTGGTTTCGGCGTATCTGTCCATTCGTGTACGTGTATCCGTTCCAGATTACTCGAGTCGAGCTGTGTAGTTGGCCAGTGTTCTTCCTCGTCAAATAGGAACGGCGGACCGGAGAACCATCTCGCTTCCGGTTGGAAACTCGACTCTTTGGTCCACTTCGTTCCATCGTCTGCTACGTTCAGAGCGGATGGAACCCATTTCCATTCTGATATGTCCGAGGTTTCCAAGATCTCTCCAATTCGGAGCGCGACGAACTGATGGTACTTTCGGGCGTCTGAACATATCCAATACAACACGTTCTTGGAGTCGGTCCAAAAAACACGTCGCTTGACCTCGACGGAGAGCTCCTGTGTTATGAGTTTAGCTAGTCGTAGGCCGAGGATCGCTGCCATAAGCTCCATCCTGGGAATCGAAATTGGTTTCAATGGTGCTACTCTTGTCTTGGATGCGAGTAGTGTGCATCTGACTTCTCCTCTTTGTTCGATCCTTATGTAGGCGACGGCTGCAAAGGCGTTTATACTCGCGTCTGTAAAGATGTGTAATTGGATATTAGATGTTTCTTTCGTTAGACCGAGATATCGTGGAACCCTTAATTCTTCGATGTTTTGTAGTTGCCGTGCCCATATCATCCAACGTTGACGTTCGCTTTCTTCGACCTGTTCATCCCAGCCTACGGCCGACCTCCACACGTCCTGCAGTATTATCTTTGCCTGTATAATATAGAACCCCAGTAGTCCTAAGGGATCGAAGATGGTCATGACTGTACGTAGAATTGACCGCTTCGTCACAGTTTTCGCTTCGTCGTAT